TCACATCTGACCCTGAAGAAATACAAAAGATCATTAGAGACTACTATGTACACTTGTATGGAAACAAACTTGAAAACCTTAAGGAAATGGAGGACTTTCTGACATCACACAACCTCCCTAGGTTGAAACAAGAAGAAATTGAGACCCTAAATAGACCAATAATAATCAAGAAAATTGATTATGTAATAAGAAAACCCCTACAAAAAACAGCCCTGGTCCAGATGTCTTTCCTGCAGAATTCTACAAGACATTTAAGGAGGAGCTGATACGAATCCTACTGAAGTTATTCCATGCAATTGAAAAAGATGGAACTCTCCTCAAATCATTTTACAAACATCACATTGATACCCAAGCCAGGTAAAGACCCAACAAAGATAGAGAACTGCAGGCCAATATCTTTCATGAACATAGATGCTAAAATTCTTAATAAGATCCTAGCAAACTGGATTCAACAACACATCTCAAAAATCATCCCTCATGACCAAGTAGGCTTCATACCTGGGAAGCAAGGCTGGTTCAACATTCATAAAACCATAAATGAAATTAAATACATCAACAGATGTCAAAACAAAAACCACATGATTATATCATTAGATCCAGAAAAAGCTTTTGATAAAATCCAGCACCCCTTATTGATAAAAACCCTTGAACATCTAAGTATATGGGGAACATACTTCAAAATAGTAAAAGCCATCTACGAGAAATCCACAGCCAGCCTACTCCTAAATGGAAAAAATTGGAACCATTTCCCCTGAAAACTGGAACAAGACAAGGATGCCCACTCTCACCCCTCCTGTTCAATATAGTATTGGAAGTCCTGGCTAGAACAATCAGAAAAGAGAAGGCAATCAGAGGTATCCAAATAGGAAAAGAGGAAGTCAGGTTATCTCTCTTTGCAGATGACATGATTGTATACCTTGAAAAACCCAAGAGAATCTGTCAAAAACCTCCTTACACTGATAAAGGTCTTTGGCAACGTCTCAGGATATAAAATAAATGTGTAAAAGACAATTGCATTTCTTTACACCAATAATAAACAAACAGAAACCCAAATAAATAGCACAATTCCATTCATAATAGCTACAAAAAAATGAAATATCTTGGCACCCTTCTAACCAGAGACGTGAAAGACCTTTACAATGAAAACTACAAAACACTGCTCAAAGAAATCAAAGATGACACAAACAAATGGAAAAATACCCCATGCTCATGGATTGGAAGAATCAACATTGTGAAGTGTCCATCTTACCTAAGGCAATCTACAGATTCAATGCAATGCCCATCAAATTGCCAGCAACATTCTTCTCAGACCTAGAAAAAAACAACACAAAAATTCATATGGAAACACAAACAACCAAGAATAGCCAGAACAATCCTCAGCAAAAAAAAAAAACAAAGCAGGTGGTATCACATTATCAGACTTCAAACTTTACTATAAAGCTACAATCATCAAAACAGCTTGGTATTGGTATAGGAACAGGCATATAGATCAATGGAATAGAATTGAGATTCCAGAAGCAAAACCTCAATTTCTCAACCAACTCATCTTCGACAAAGCCTCCACCACCTACCACTGGGGAGAGGAGAACCTATTCAGTAAATGGTGCTGGGAAAACTGGCTGACCATATGCAGAAGATTGAAACAGGACCCCTGTCTATCCCCATACACAAAAATTAACTCCAAATGGATCAGAGACCTAAATGTAAAACCTCAAACAATAAGAACCTTAGAAAATGAAGGACATACCCTCATGGAAATCGGAACTGGCATCCAATTCCTGAACAAAACTCAAAACTCACAGGTCATAAGATAGAAGATAGACAAGTGGGACCTCATTAAACTGACAAGCTTCTGCAAAGTCAAGGAAACCATCAAGAGAGCAGGGAGACAGCCTACAGACTGGGAAAAAGTATTTGCCAACTCCAGGTCTGACAAAGGCTTAACATCTTTGTTGGGAGCTGGCCACAGAGGCCCACTGAGCATTAGGGATCAGGAAAGGCCGTTGACCCTGAGACCACTAGGATGTGTTCAGGAGTTGTTGACCCATTCCCTCCCTCCTTTTCCATTTGGCACAAACTACCAAGAAAAGCTACAACTGGCTCTAACAGAAAACTCTGAGACCGGAACGCACACAGCTAACCTAGGAGTCTATTGTTCCCATTCCCCACGGCTTATGGTCTTTTGCTTTATCACAATTTAAGTTTGGCTT